GACTTAGTCATAATTTCTGTTCAAAAGGATACTGTTTACATTTCGACCGTTCATTTATATTTCTGTTGTGTGTAAAACATTCAAATCTTATGTTAAATGAGGACAAACATTGAATATAATGTAGACGGCCGTATGACTTTCTTGGTTATTAACCAATTAAATAAGGTGTCAGAAATGAAAGGTGTAATATACAAATATACAAGAGCTAAATGTCTAAACATTGAACTTTCCAGTGTCAGTAGTTAGTGTGTACAGCAAGTGCAAACCCATGCACATTTCAAATGAACCTTTTAACTCTTTATGTTACATAATTCAACTGCATCAAACATTTTGATCTGGGCTGCATGATGTACAAGAAGAATGTGGAAAGTCGAAAGTAAACCGCACTTCAGTTCTCTGTGTTCCGCTATGTCTTGTGCACACTATGCATTGCATTAATGTGCACCTCATCATCAGCAGTGGTGCACATGTACATTACTCTTAATAATCTTGGATCAACATCTTGGTTCAGTCAGCCAGATATTAGATATAGGCTCATGCTATGTTTCATTCAACTTGGTAAGTAGGAATTTTCTTTAAAGAATAAAATTGAAAACCACTTAAAATGAAACTTGGAATTTGAAAACTTTGTATGATATGTGGGCGTACGGCATCAATCAATAAGCTCCTACACTGTATGATTATTATACCTACTTAGCAAATCTTTGCGGAGACAGGTGGGCTAAACACCATAAATGATCTGCTATCTTTATAAACATACAACTGCAGAACATATATAGCATTGTTTATCCTATCTAATTAGAATGGCAGGGGGCTTCTTTACTGAAAGTCGAACACATTCATGAGCATCAAGTAAGTGTAATACATTTGAAGTCGGAAGTCAGGCATTTTAAGAATATCCCACATTCCTTTTTGGATGGAATGCAAGAGGTGATGAAGCTTGAATGACATTCTTAACCTATCATTTCAATCTGATTTTAGGTTATGTAGTTATTTCTAGGAATGGGGTTATACAGGTGCATCTCAATAAAATAGAATGTCGTGGAAAATTTCATTTATTTCAGTAATTCAACTCAAATTGTGAAACTCGTGTATTAAATAAATTAAATGCACACATACTGAAGTAGTTTAAGTCTTTGGTTCTTTTAATTGTGATGATTTTGGCTGACATTTAACAAAAACCCACCAATTCACTATCTCAACAAATTAGAATACTTCGTAAGACCAATAAAAAAACATTTTTAGTGAATTGTTGGCCTTCTGGAAAGTATGTTAATTTACT